AAGTCTATTTATAAACTATTAATTAACTAGTTTGCACATTATTTATAAGTAATCGTAGCTGTACACTTAACTTAAACTGTTACATCATTTGAGATCAAAAGATGGACTGTTTTCTGAAACCACCGTTAAACACTCTGCTCAGGGAGAATTTACCTGATCGAACAGGTCAGTGCTATCAATCCCAGCAGCCCTCATTAACTCCTCTTCCCCACCAGGGTGGAAATCCATGTAGGCACTCACATTATAGACCATACCTACAGAAAACACACAAGCATACAGAGTCATGTGTACATCTGACACAGCTCCAACATCTTGTATTTCTTGTGTGGATACAAACAGAACTGAAAGAAGTCACTTATGCTCACCACGACTGCATATTGATACTGCATAAAATATTGGTTTCCTGTTTTAATATATTTTAAATGTATTTCTAATTTACTTCTGTGTTTGCATAAGTGCATTTTCAGCATCATTTACAAATCATTCTAATAAGCCGATTTGCTGCTCAAGAAACATTTCTGATTATTATTATGAATGTTAAAACAGTTGTGCTGCTTAAAGAATTCATCAAAATATATCTTAATTTGTGTTCCGGAGATGAACGAAGGTCTTCCGGGTTTGGGTGAGTAATTAATGACAGAATTTTCATTTTTGGGTGAACTAACCCGTTCATATTTTTTGTGGGAACAATGATTTTATTATTATTATTATTATTTTTTTATTTTTTTTTAAGGAAAGCATTTTTGAACAACACATTTTTATTTTATTATTTTTTTTTATATTCTTAATGTGTTATTTGATACATTCGATGGATTAAATGCAGCGTTTTTGAATAAAAGTATATCTTTCATTTTAAAAGTTCCACTGAATCCAAACTCGACCAAAACACATTCCCAACAGTAAATTCTGTAAATTCATCTCAGTAAGCATAGAAAGCTTTACTGAGATGAGTTGTGTTCATGGTGTGTATTTTGACGTTCTACCTCTAATGCAGGTCCAGCAGTCGTTTCTGGTGCTGTGTTTCTTCAGCTCCTCTTCTGTCACCTCAATCAGTTGACCTCTCAGTCCAGTCAGATCACGTCCACTCTTGGTCAGTCGGATCCAGTCCAGGAGACTGTGACCTGGCTTTAGCGCCACCTGTATTCGTTACACACCGCAGTAAATGCACAGTGCTGTACACACAACTACATGTCAAATACAGAGCCGTCTCATTTTGCTATGCATTTAATGAATTCACTCTTTAAATTACTCCTATGACAATTATGTAGTTTAAGGGACCGACCTTATTTCTGGACTGTCCGGTTGGTGCGACTCTCTGCTGGGACCCAGCTGCCGGAAAAGACTGAGATGGTACATTTAACATCTCTGATGCTTTCAGACAAATCCAGTTCCTGAGAAAACCTGCCCAAGCACACTAAATATATCACTGATCAGATGACAGAACCTGGCAAAACGCACTCATTTGAGAAAATACACTTTAACGTCACTGATCCGAGGAGTTTACTTATGAGGAAGTGTTATGAGAGTGTTATGAAATGCGACTTCCTCATCTTGGCAGGTGGGTTTACTTTTTGAGCTATCGAACATGGCAACATGATCCAACTGAACTGCTCTAAAAACACACAAAGACAGAGAAATGTAACAACCACTAGCGATGATACTGCTGTCACAACATAACCGACAGACAGCGGCTGCTACAAAAAGAAAACGTCGCCAAAATATGACGTCATAGCGTCCTCTAGCGACCATTCTGATTTCATAATAAAAGACGAATGTTATTAGAATTTAAATACGAATAGTTAAATATACACAGCGCAAAATTATATTGGTCTGTCAATATAAAAAATAGCTAGTGATAGTGATTGTGTTTCCATGTGTGTATAAGTGACAATATTTGCAATATTTACTTTTTATATTAATCTTCTTTTTTTTCAACTAGACCGAATAAACGTTTATAAACAAAATATGTTATCTGAAATCAATTATATATATACATATACAATTTACTTTGAACAACATTTCAGATTATTTTTTTGTCTGTCATAGCTACTTCAGGTTTTTATTGTTTGAAAGTGCACTAGTACAACTGCTACTGTCTCAACATACAGACTGTTTCTCATATATCTGGTAGTTATTATGTATTTAAAACTCACCAGACACAACACTGGATATGACAGAAAGGACAGCTGAAATTTTCCCTCTGTTTGCAGCTCGGTTCTCTTCCTCATCTTCTTCCTCAAAGTCCTCATCATCTTCCTTTAGCATTCCAGTGATATAACTTTTACGATGAGTGGTTTCAGAAAACATTACACATGATTATCAATTTGATATTTTGACAGGGGACACATGCTGACGGGCGTGAATTTGATTAATAGCTAATCTGTTTAATCCCGCCAACAGGAATGGCATAGAATTTCATAGGAAGAGTTATAATTTCAAAATAAAAGTTTCAAACTTAAAGAATGTTTCTGTTTATAATTCTGCACAAATGCAGTTTGAATTTACAAAGAAACCTCAAACATCATCTAATGTCCTTCCACCTTTCCTCAAACACTCGTTTTTTTGGATGAATGCCTAATAACTCAGACTCACACTGTACAAACGAGCCGTTTTAGAGGGGCGTGGCAGAGTCTTAACTTTGATAAAGAATATCTCTTTGGTTTTGAGACTTTAGTCTTTGCAACTTCAGGGATCTTATCTATTCACAATCAGCTTGTAACACTCCAAAGAGAAAGGAAAACTTGAAATCGCATCATATGACCCCTTTAAATACACAAGTGTACATGTTACAGTGCTTGTCAAAAATGCATTGGGCAAAACATTAATTTTAACTCAACTGATGCACAACTAAAAACATCCTGAACTAGACTTTGTGAGATGAGTTTGACTGCACCCACTACTAAACTGGATAGAAAACGCATATGACTTGATTGCAGAAATATCCTGGAAGATTCTTATGTAACTTTCAACACTACCTTCTTTACTCAAGCATTGCCAGATACAGGGGAAAAAAATTAAAAATCTAGGACTGCATTCAGATATTTGTTTCAAGACTAAGTGCAATACAAATATCTACTTAAACCTTTACCAAACAGATCTTTAAGGTCAAGATAAGCTGTCAACTCCTTGTTACCAAGGAGCTTTAAATTAAGATACTGATGCGTTCTGTAGATTAACTTTACATTCACCTGAGATTCTGTATTCACTGATTACACACAAAGTCACTTAAACTGAGCTTGCTATAATGTATAAATCAGGGCTGTCCAAACTCGGTCCTGGAGGGCCGGTGTCCTGCAGAGTTTAGCTCCAACTTGCCTCAACACACCTGACTGGAAGTTTCTATGCCTAGTAAGAGCTTGATTAGCTGGTTCAGGTGTGTTTAATTAGGGTTGGAGCTAAACTCTGCAGGACACCAGCCCTCCAGGACCGAGTTTGGACAGCCCTGGTATAAATGCTGTAATAAAATATTTTTCTTTGGAAAGCTGATGGACAATTATACTGAATGTTTGCTGTATGGATAGATTAGTTGATAGATTAGTTAATTATGTTACAATTACTTTGGGCAGCTGATACATATAAATATAACTGATTATAACAATGGCAGCAGATGTCTTCCACTGTTGTGTTGGGCCACATTGCAGTGGGAAGGAGTAGTAGGATCTGTTTCACAGCTTTGAATACAACACACTTGTGAACAATGAACTCCTGAACACTCAGAAGGCCCTTGGTCTAAAACAGGGTTCCTCAAATCTTGCCCTGGAGGGCCAATGCGCTGCAGAGTTTAGCTCCAACCATGATCAAAGTCACCTACCTGTGATTTTCTAATGATCCCGAAGACATTGATTAGCATGCTCAGGTGTGTTTGATTAGGGTTAGAGCTAAACTCTGCAGGAAAGTGGATCTTGTGGGCCAGATTTGAGGATCCCTGGTTTAAAACATGCAGATGAAGGAGCCTTGAAGGTGAAGGTTCTGAAGTCTGTTCAGAAGATCGTGATGATAGGCCAAGGACTTAACACACTTATCATGTGTGTTCTTACTCGGAGCCACATTTACAAAATGTCATTGTGTTTGCCCAGAGGAGAATAACCTGTTTGATGAGGGCCATCTAACACAATTAATCCAACAAACAGAAAAACTCAAAGCTCTATACAGGTCAGATAAACCACTTCTGAAGAAGATAATCAGGGAATCTAAGTGCAGTACTCTCTGGTATCTGACAGATAATGAATAACAAAAATACATTAACTTCTAAAGCCTGCTCAATACACAAGTAATACGCTGTCCCAAGTCTCTCCAAACTTTACCTGCTGTTCCACCCTTGGGCTGAACGGTTCTAATAACGGTAAGAAATGGTTCCAGTTATGTTTCCACTTGAGCTTGGTTCGTTTGTTGTCTGGCTACTAGATTCACTCTGTAGCTGCCCAAGCTATTTACATCCCATACCGTATGTGAACACTTGCACTAACAAGGCAACGACTGACGAATTTGTATTACTGTATATGAGAAGTACTGTATATGAACCAGTAAAACCAGCAGATCATACCCACTTGTTTGTATAGAAGGAGGAACAATCACAACAATCAGATACATGACACACTTTTCATCTAACACAACTTAATTCAACATGAAAATGCTTGTTCTTTTGTATCTGTTGTCATGTTTGAAATTATGTCAAAGCAGGTATGTCTTTTTATTGAAACTCTTTACTGTCTTTACAGCTACTGCATCATATGCAACATTTTTTAAACAAGGACCATTGTAAAAGCAAAACTAACATGTTAAGTACTGTTCAATGTATAACCATTAAAGAAATAGAAGACAAAATGTAAGTAGATGTTTCAAATAGCCTACTTCAGTATATTATACAGAGGTGCAGACAGGCCATCGGTAGAAAAATTACTTAAAGGGGTCCTATTATGCTTTTTCACTTTTTCAACTTTAGTTAGTCTGTAATGTTGCTGTTTGAGCATAAAAAAGATCTGCAAAGTTACAAAGCTCAAAGTCCACTTCAAAAGGAGATATTTTATTTAACAGAAATCACTTTTCAAAAACTACAACGAACGACTCGTTTGGACTACAACGCATATTTTCCGGGATTTGTGATATCACAAATATCGACGAATGGGACGAGACCTGGTTAAGCTGCGCTAGAGAAGACAACGAGTGTTATCACTATGTCTGAGACGCGCTAGCTTTCCCAAGGCAGACGAACTTAGAGTGGTTACAATCATCCGGGTTTAAATCGCGCTCAAATTGATTTGATTTTGACGCAATATTTACACTGAAGCTCGCAGGCGGCTATGGTAAGGCATGACATTTCCAACCTAGTATGAGAGTCTGTTCTAGTACACCCCCAAAACAAAATCAAGACTTTGCAAAAGAGCATAATAGGACCCCTTTAATGGGAGTTTTTGAGAGTGCTTGAACTCGACTGTCAGTGAAAATGTTCTTTGATAATGTAAATGTTCTTTGCTCTCTTTCTGTACAATGAAAGTGTTATGATAGTAGCCTAACTTGCAATGTTTTTATTGACATTAACTTTCAATGTTAAATTCACATTAAATATAAACTCAGTCGTATTAAAAATATGTTATGGCATGACATCCATATCTGTTAATTAAGTAAACAGACAGGTTTTTATGCATAATTAGCAGATTACATTATTAGGTTACTTTGACCATCGCCCACTATAGATCAACATAACCTGTAAAGGTGAGAATCAATATATTTCATGATATAGTTAATGCGTTTGGGAATGTTTCGAATAAACAGGAAAGAATAAATAAAACGTGCTGTTT